GAAGAATTACCGGAGTTTAAAGCAGGCAAGGTTCGTGGAAGCTTTCTAGGGTAGGTGACTGGATGTGCCGGGCAATTGGCTGATATGCGTTGTGTGATGACCCAAAATCCCCTTTGTATATTTTTTATGCGTTTTGTGCTGAAACAGTTGCAAAAATGTATATTTTCAAGACCCTGTGTGTGTTTTTGTTGTGTTGTGTGTATGCACGTGTGTGTGTGTATGTGTGTGTGTGTGTGTGTGTGTGTGTGCGTGTGTGTGTGCGTTTTATTGTGGGTTTTTAAATCGAGTACCGAAGAAGCTAGAAAGCTGAAATTTTAGGGGTATATCCCCTATCTGCATGTGATCCCGCATTGTTAAATACAGCCTTACGTACGTCTAGGTCTCACGTACAACAGTGTGAAAGTTTTGGCTTTAAAATTAACTCGGGACGACAAAGATAAGATGAAACCTTTGAAGACTGTTTCTTAAACACGTAAGACTTCAAAGATTTAAACTTAACTTCCGAGTACACTCAGTTTCACGTATGGGCACGGGAAAGCTTTGGCGTGAAAAACTAATGGTTGTGAACTCAGTAAAGCTAGGAGGCTGAAGTTTCAAGGGGATTTTTCCTACCTCGTGTGTCTTTACTTACTTAAATGCACTCCTTCCTCTCCTACTGCGCCTAAGCCCCATGTACGAACACGTGAAAGTTTTGTCACCAAAACCAATAACTCGGGAACAACAGAAGCTAGGAAGTTCTGAAATTTTATAAGGACGTTCAATGTCTTTCGAAATCAACTCTTACATGCATCTAGGTCTCACGCACCGGTACGTGTGATTTTGCCCAGAAAGTTACTAACTCGGAGACCAGGAAAACTAGAAGCTAAAATTTAAGAAAGATATTATGCGCTCATGTGAAACAGCGAAAATTTTTGACTCACCTTCCTTATGCGCTTACGTTTCACATACAAATGCGTACGCTTTGACAGGAAATTTCCCAACGCCGGAAATAAATAAGGCAGGAAATCGAAATTTTAAGTGGATGTATCCTATGCAAGATTTCGGGAATTTTAAATTCGGGTTTTACGTGGGCCTAGATCTCACGTACGGAAAAATGAAAATTTTGATCAAACAGAACATTCCGATGATTTCTGCACATGTCAAACAGCAAAAATCCGCTAGATAAAACTGCACACTAATTTTTTCTGCTATCGTGACCCTGGATCTGATTGTGACCCTAAAGCAGATGTCAATGCTTTTGACAGGTATCGAGATGTAAGGTGCTTCGCTTATACCTGCATTTTCTCCAGGCTTTATATTCGGGTCCGCCGAACGCAATTTTCCCAAAATCGTGCTTCTCTCTACTGCGGTTGCTCATCCTGCTTTGCTATGCGTTCACCATAACTGTATAGGCCGAATGCAAGCGTGCAGGAAGCTGCTGAAAGTGAAAAGCGGCGGTGCAGGCGTGGCCGAAACACTCAGCAATTCATCAGAACAAATAATTGGCCGACGCAGGGGCTGTCCGTGCGAAGATGCGTTTTTTGCATAGTTCCCCACAGATCTTTGTCGCTAATGGCACTGTTTTTTCCGGCAGATGCTTCTAGCTAAAAGAATTTCAAACTGGCCGCCAGGACTATCAGGAAACATCCCTTCAAGATCCCCTTGACATTCCAGTCTTCTAGCTTCTTGGGTCCCCAAGTTAGCAACTTACCCGAAACAAACTTCCACAAGCCCATACGTGGGTACCACGCTTACCCGGTATCTGAGTTTGAGCTCATTAAGTCTTACGCGAACGGGGAACATCTTAAAATTACAGTCCTCTATCTTTTCGAATTCTCGAGTTAGCAACTTAGCCGAGAAAAAAAACTTTGGAGGGCCTGTGGTAGGTACCGCGCATACTCGAGGGCCCGGTTTAAGCTCATTGAGCCTTACGTGGACGTGAAACATGCCCTTAAAATTTTAGCCTTCTAGCTTTTCTGGTTTCCGAGTTAGTGACTTATCCACAAAAAACTTTCATGGGCCCGTACGTAAGTACCACGCGGGTAAAACCACAAATTTTGGAGATGGGGGCCCGTACATGCATGTAGATTAAATTCCTAAAGCTTCAGCCCTGTAGCTTTTGTAGATCTCGAGATGAAAAATCGGTACAGACACCTAGCGCACACACAGACAACCTCTCGTCAATATACGTTTCCTGCATTGCATAGCTGCAAAAAACGCATAAAAAGTGCACCTCCAGATAGTGCAAGGGATGTGGAAAGTGACCGAGAAGATTGGCGCTGGTGGATGCGGCGCTGTTTACGAAGTAGTTCACGTGAAACGGAAAAATTTCACCGCTGCGCTCAAAGTAACTCTTTCCACTGTTATTTTTCTGCCTTTCAGACGCAAAATGACGCCCATAGAAATGCAAAAAACATTTCGCTAGTTAATTATGAAATTAGCTACATCTGTGTGCGATTGCTGAGCAGCTGAGCGCGCGCGCCAGTACTGTCCGACACAGGTACGCTCGTGCTGGCCGCATTCCGGAAACAGCACGACTGGACACTGCGAGGCCGCGTGCTCCAGCAAAATGCACATCGATGTGCGCGTTTCAATTTTAACATCGTAAAATCATTCTGTGTTGTGCGTCGCGGTGAATAATGCATGTGCCAGGGAAATATACCATTCGAACGGCCACGGAAAACATGATGTGTAGTGGCGGAAGTATGTTCAAAATGGAGGTATGCAACAGCTCAGGGCACATCTGCTTCACACAGCCACACATTATGACTTACAGTCGCAGTATCATCGCACCTCACCAAAAATCTGCGCGATTTTCGTGGCTCTACTGAAATTTTGATTGTTTTAGTAAGATGAAAGTGGCAATTGTGTGGAAAGTTTTGTTCCAGATGCTACCTCATCTCAGAGTCATAATTTGCTAAGCAGGCTCTTAATATTTTGATAAAAAATTTTGTTCCCATTTCAACTTCTGCTAATCCAAGCTTCCTGCTGACTTATATTTAGGTCGAATCAACAGGACTTCCGGACGGAGGAGTGCTTAAGTTGGAAGCTTACGTGCTTGCAAAACTGAGCGACTCCTCGAAATATACCATCCGTTTGTTACATTCTGGGAAAAGGCTTAAATACAGGTTTACACTATTCTCAATCCATTAATGCAAGTGGACTTTGGTAAATACAGTACTGGCAAGATGAGCAACAGAAGTAAAAAGTTACAAAACGATAGCGGCGATGAATAAACCATTTGTTGGTATCACATAATATGTCAAATAATGATTTATGGCTTTTCGTTAGAAACTGCGTAAGGAACAATTGCGTCACTACGATGCAATACCCCGGTCCTCGATTCAACTTCTGGACATCCTACCCCCGTTTAAAGCTTTGCAGTCTTAGTGCCTCTGACCATTGTGGTATAAAAGCACTTCTCCCCATTTCTGGGTTCCATAATCACTTTTTACGATCTGAACCTTTTTGAATTTTGTCCTTATCTTACTTTACTTTGTATAACTTTGGTTAATGTATATTATTACAAATGCATATATATAACTAGGGGTCTCGATACACACACACAGAGGGCACTTTACTAACCTAGTTTATTAACCTTTTAGGGTCGTAATATTGAGAATTCTTAGATCTAGCAAGATGCAGGGCACGGGTGGATTTCGGCAAATACAAATAAATAGGGGCGCACACTAAATAGCTGATGCGGTCATGCGTTCTGCGCAGTTTTGCTCCGGTGAAGGCAGAGCACTGACTTGCCTCCTTCAGGCAGCTTGCTAGCAGTTTTGTTGTTAGCCATCTTGCTTCCTGTTTTCGAGAAATGCCCGCTCACATTTCCACGGTCGCTCTTCGGTCCTTCTCATCCCACCTGC